TGGGGTGGCAGAACGCATGAATCGAACTATACTGGAGAAAGTTCGATGTATATTGTCCAATTCTAGGTTGGACAAAGAGTTTTGGGCTGAAGCAGTTATATATGCGTGTAATCTCATTAATCGTCAACTGCAATTGAAGGCAAGACGCCGATTGAGGTATGGTCTGGAAAACATGTTTCTGATTATGACTCTTTACATGTTTATGGTTCCATTGCTTATTATCATGTGAAAAAAGTCTAAGTCCTAGAGCAAAGAAAGCAGTATTCATGGGGATTACCTCAGGTGTGAAAGAATACCGTCTTTGGTGTCTAAGTTCGAAGAAAATACTGTTTAGTAGGGATGTGACATTTGATGAGTCTTTTATGTCAGAAAAGAAAACAAAAAGCCAGATGAAGGTTTTCAGTACTCCACAGCAGGTGGAGCATACTCAGCAACAGGTGAAGTTTAAAACAACATCAGTTAGCCCAGCTAGAAATGAGACTCCTATGATAGAGGAGTTTATTGGAGATGAAGAAGAAGATTCTTCCCAAGAACCTCAACAAGAATCTATTGTCGTTAATAGACCAAGACGAGAAATTTGCAAGCCTGCTCGTTTTGCTGATACGGTGGCCTATGCACTCACAATTGAAGATGATGAAGTTCCTTCCACTTATAATGAAGTAGCTAGCAGTTCCGAAAATTGTAAATGGAAGAAAGCCATGAAAGAAGAGATGCAGTCTCTCCATAAGAATGAAACTTGGGAGGTAGTTCAATTACCAAAGACTAAAAAGGCAATTGGATGCAAATGGGTATATGCAAAGAAAGAAGAATTTCCAAATTTGAAAGATATCCCATACAAGGCAAGGTTGGTGGCGAAAGGCTACACTCAAAAGGAAGGAATAGATTTCAATGAGGTATTTTCTCCAGTTGTAAAACATTCTTCCATTAGAATTTTGTTGGCCTTGGTTGCTCAGATGAATCTTGAACTAGTTCAACTTGATGTGAAAACCGCGTTTCTACAAGGTGATTTGGAAGAGGAAATCTATATGACTCAGCCAGAAGGATTTAGGATTATTGGGAAGGAAGATTGGGTTTGTAAACTGAAAAGATCGCTTTATGGTTTGAAACAATCTCCGAGGCAGTGGTACAAGCGATTTGATAGGTTTATGATGGGTCAGGAGTACACAAGAAGCAAATTTGACAACTGTGTGTATTTTCAAAGGCTACAAGGTGATACTCTCATTTATCTACTCTTATATGTTGATGATATGTTGATTGCTTCAAAGAATGTAGAAGAAATTGAGAAGTTAAAGGCTCAACTAAATCAAGAATTTGAGATGAAGGATTTAGGGGAAGCCAAGAAGATTCTCGGTATGGAGATAATTAGAGATAGAGGAAATGGCAAGGTTTGTTTGACACAAAAGCAGTATCTAAAGAAGGTCTTACAACGTTTTGGCATAACTGAAAGTACAAAACCTGTAAGTACTCCACTTGCTCCTCATATAAAGCTTAGTGCGTCATTATCTCCAAGTACGCATGAAGAACGAGAGTATATGTCAAAAGTTTCGTATTCAAATGTGGTTGGTAGCTTATGTATTCAATGGTGTGTACTAGGCCCGACATTTCACATGCAGTTGGAATTGTGAGCAGGTATATGCATGATCCTAGTAAAGGACATTGGCAAGCTGTGAAGTGGATTTTACGGTATATTATAGGTACTGTAAACATTGGTTTGGTTTTTGAACGGGATGAAAATCTTAGTCAATTTGCTATTGGCTACGTTGATTCTGATTATGCTGGTGATTTGGACAAGCGTCGATCAACTACTGGATATGTATTTACTCTTGCTAGAGCTCCAGTAAGTTGGAAATCTTCTTTGCAATCTACAGTTGTTTTGTCTACTACAGAGGCAGAATATATGGCAGCTGCAGAGGCTATAAAGGAAGTTATTTGGTTACAAGGGCTATTGGATGAATTGAAAATTAGTCAGAAGAAGATCACTATCTATTCTGACAGTCAGAGTGCTATTCACTTAGCAAAGAATCCAATATTCCACTTTCGCACCAAACATATAGATGTTCGTTACCACTTTGTGCGAGAAATCATTACTGAAGGAAGAATCTCATTAGAGAAGATTGGGACTACTGAGAATCCTGCAGATATTTTAACGAAAGTAGTGACAATGATCAAGTTCAATCACTGTCTGAACTTGATCAACATCCTGCGAGCTTGACTGTGCCTTTTGGCACATTTGAAAGTGTTGCAAAATTTGACAGAAGAATACAAAACTTTAAAGGTTTGCTAATTCGCCAAGGCGGAGATTTGTTGAAAAATGGCTTTTAGCAAAATCACATGGGGTAGAAGTGATAATGGAGAAATGTTTAAGGACTTACATGTAATAGGCCAAAAAGTTAGTTTGTCCCACATTGCTCAGGAATGAAAAATGGGAAACTTTTGAGGCCTATATATAAGGACCCAAATCATTGTTATTTGTATCCCAAGTTGTATTTCCTTTACACTTCTTTTGTATAGGGTTCTTTCATTAAGGACCCTTCACTTTAAAAGTTTTGTTGCATCTCCCCTTTATTTTGGGTATTTGTTATATTGCCCAAAAGTTTGTAATATTGTTTAGAGATAGTAGAGTTTTCTTTTGCAACGCCTGAACACGTAGGTTACAATACCGAACCTCGTCAATTCCTAATATTCTTTATTTTTGGATGACACATTCAAAGATGAACATAAGTCTACGTTGTTAATTGGATTTCTTCCGGATGAGTTGGATCATCTTAATATTACATTTCTTCATGGGAAAAAAAAATTGTCCTTTGAAGAAGTTTGTTCTGCTCTATCCAATCATAAAATTCGGAAAAAAGATCAGAAGGAGAATAGAGATGAGTCAGCAGAAGCACTTGTAGCAAGAGGGCGGAGTCAAAATCAGAGTCGTAAGAAGGAGAAAAGAGGAAGATCTCGTTGAAAAGGAAAACTCAATAGGGATCAATGTGCCTTTTGTTGTGAGAAAGGACATTGGAAGAAAGATTGTACGAAGTTGCAAAAGAAAGAGGGAAAAGCTGCTTCTGATGCATACGTTGTTGAACGTGAAGAAGATGAGTCATATTTCTGTCTAGTTAGCCTACCATCCACCTCTGGATCAAATGAGTGGATTATGGATTCAGGTTATACCTATCATATGTGTCCTCACAAGGAGTGGTTCTTTAATTTTGAAGAACTTGATGGTGAAGTTGTTTATATGGGCAACGATGATGATTGTAAAACAACTGGGATAGGTTCAATTCGGTTGAAGAATCATGATAGCTCGACTAGAACTCTGACAGATGTTCAGTATGTACCGAAGTTGAAAAAGAAAACTTCACTATCTCCAAACAATATTAAAGACTTTTGTGCAATACAACAAATACCAAAAACAAATGAGAGATACAACAAAACTTTTAAACTAAAGGGTCCTTAATTAAATAACCCTATACAAGAGAAGTGTAAAGGAAATACAACTTGGGATACAAATAACAATGATTTTGGTCCTTATATATAAGCCCCAAAAGTTTCCCACTTTTCATTCCTAAGCAATGTGGGACAAACTAACTTTTTGGCCTATTATATATAAGTCCCTAAACCTTTCTCCACTATCACTTCTACCCCGTGTGATTTTGCTAAATAAGCCATTTTTCAACACTAACCACAAGGAACCTATTAATAGAGGGTAAGCAACAATGGGAAGAAAGCAATCTTTTGATGACTTCCAAACTGAGAAAACCAATATCTTTATGCTGGTCTGCCATTCAAAGTCGATCTTAACTCCCAGCATTGATAATTTGAAACTTGCAGAATAATCCAAAACTATAAACACTCTCTAATTCTAAGAAAAAGTGCAAATAATTTCAAGCCCAAGCCATAAACATGAACAAATAATATAGCCTATATCCTCTAACCAAAACTCAATCTAGAGAACAGAAAAGGAGCATTTTTAAATGTTTGAATTCAAATTTTACTCAATTATCTGGCATTCCGCCTAAGAGAAGATAGTAAATAAATTGCAGATAATTTTGATAAATCTTTTACACACACAGACGGGAGTGTCCTGGCAGTGTCCTAATATATACAATTTCTGTAACACAGGAATGACCTCAACAGCTCATTTGGCCAGAAATTTCATTGTGAACACCCCAGCTGAGCATCTAAGAAACAAAATTAGCACACACTGCATCCAAGAATCAACATCAAATACCCTTTCCCCCAAACTGGCTATTCTATCTCTCTCTTTCTTATAAAGAAATAAAGAATAGCCAAAATAATGTTTTATAATAATTCAAAAACAAAATGGTCAATCAAACACAAGCAAAAAAATACGTCATCATCAATCTAGGAAGAAATAAACTGGACTGCTATTAGTTAATAAAAGAAAGACCACTAAATCCCTATAAAACTGTCTGTCTTTTTCACTCTTATATCGTCCATACATCTAATATTCCACATAACTGAAAAATGCAGGAAAGAGTAAAGCTTAAGCACTATCCCTTCTCATGCCAAAATGCAAAGAAACTTACTTTCACTTACTACATTAACAAAGAAAGGTACTCTGCTCAGCAAATTAAAATCCATACTTTTCTACTTTTGAGATTTGATAATTGCAAACCAGATAACCGCTGAATCTGACATGCAATACCAATTCCATGAATTATAGGCTCTAATCAAGCAATAACCAAGAACTGCATGCAATTTCCCATTCCCCATACATGTAACAAAGAAGACAAAAAGGAGATTCAAACATTTGTACTATGGATTTAACATAATTCTGCAACCCATATCCCAACGGATAAATTAACCTCTCCGCTCAACTAAAAGAACAAACTTTAAATCAGAACACATCCTTCTGTTGGCTTTTTTGACACAAAATAATACACTCTTATAGATGCATGTGTTGCTTATAAGTATGTCAAAACTAGTAATAATAAAAAAAATATTTCAATGGAACGCATAGAATCAAATTAAGCTAGAATTAATCAAACCTGCGACACGCAATACACTGAAGTCGTCCTTGCTTCCCGTTCTCCAAATAACTCTTCCTCTGCGCCACATTCTCATTAATGGCCTTCACGAAATGTAAAAACGCCTTGTTTAGGGCATTCTCATCTACCTCAAAATACTTATGCTTCACTACACTCTGACCACCACCAACACCATTTCTCATAAACTTGGAAAGCCTCAATTCCTCTTCAAACGGCCCACTCGTTCCCGCCAAACCCTCGCCGCTAGGGTTCACATATTGCAAATCATCACCGTACTTCCTCTTCATCGGTCCCACCCCGTCGGGCCCACCAATCGGTTTGTTCCAAAACTCCCGATTGTCACGAAACCCTCCCACTTCGGGACTCAATTGTGGCGGAAACCGATTACCGAAATCGTTCCGTAAAAAGCGGTGGGAGGGGTCCACGTGGCGGGGAGTGAAGTCGTAATCAGGCGGAAGGGCGAAGTAGGAGCGGACGCTGCCGTCGGCGAGGATAATTGTACGGCGGTCGAGCATGTGAAAACCGTAAGCAGGAGGTGGTGGTGGGTCAGAGAAGGGGAAAGGAGGTCCGGGTGGAGTGAATGGGGCGTGGGCGGGGTCGGGTAGGGGTTTAGATTGGACGGGAGTGGGTGGTTTGGGAGAGGGGTTGGATTTTCGGTCGGAAGGTGGCTGTTTGGGTGATTCCCAGCGGGATTTACGGTGGGATGAAGTGGCGGAGGTGGAGGCGGATGGGCCTTTATTGGAAGAGGACTTGGGGTGGTTGCCACCGGCCATCCCTTTAGAGTTTGCTGGAGTGTTTATGGGAAAGAAGGTTGTGCGTGAGTGCGCGTGCGAGTGATTCTTCTGTTTGTTCATTCTATTGATGTTCTTCTTCTTTCTTCTCTTTGGGAAGAACTGTCAACTGTTACATTATATTAACCTTTGTTATTAGTATAGTAAGAAAGAGCCTGCGTTTATTGGGCCTTGGATTAGGCTTATTTTCCAGTTATTGGGCTTTAGGTGCTCATTGTCAAGCCCTTACTTTGCTATGTCATGACAAGAAGAACAAGGGAGGAGAGTCATGTGTGTTTCCTCCTAGCACATATAAGCTTTATCCGCTCTCGAGTGTGATGTTAGGGTACAATATAGGCCATTTTACTTCCTTAAAACCCTAGGCCCGTGACGTCATTGTCTATTTGAGTGATATTAAATAAGTCTCTTTAAATTATTATTTAAAGTCCTATCTTTTATTTAAAAGATAGGGTAAAACTGTGAAAAATAATAAAATTAAGGATTTAAATGAACACCATATGAATTCCCAAGTTTTTTTTTTTTCTTTTTTCTTTTAATAATCTTCATTTGAAGCCTTTGGAACAAGCTGTTGAGACTGTTATCGAATTAATCTTGAATTCCAATATGAAAGAGTGAGAATCAAGAATTTAATTTAATAGTAGATTAACACATCCATAACGCTACCAATCATAACCACAATTATCTTGAATGGGAATTGGGAAAGTATAGAGCCAATGAACAGACAGAACGGCTAAGAATGTATCCAATAATTTGAATATAAATTACTTGTGTTATCACATATCAAAACTTTCAAAATAGAGTTACAGTCAAATGGACGATTAAAATATAAAATAAAAACTACTTAATCTAAATAGATCCATCAAAACAATTCATTCTAGGAGAATTTCTAGGCCTGAATGAGCTCTAGGAAAAATAATAAGTAAACATAATCGATAAACAAAACTTGCTACTAGAGGTCCAGAACACAGTATACCATGAAAGAGGACACACCAAACTCAACGCTTTTTTGAGACACCAACTGTCTTTCCCCTGCGTCCAGTTGTCTTGGTGTGCTGTCCACGAACTCGAAGACCCCAATAGTGTCGAAGACCACGGTGGTTTCTGTTCATTAACAAAATAAGTAATCATTCAACACTATGAATGCGGAATTAACATGATATGTGGAATTAACATGGTGTGATTGATGCAAAGGTCATTAACACATCAAACATGAAATCAGCCATTCAACATTCACAATGATCATTCACAGAATCATCAAATTATAGGGTCAGTTTCCAAGCTCGCCAAGGAAAGATAATATCCACTTTTTGATAACCGACAACAATTAACCAAACAATGCGCAAACTCTTCCATTACAGTGAGTGAGAGCCATTAGGGGATCCAATAACAAAAAGCGAATAGGATGTCATTAGTCTACCTTCAAACTCATTGCTCGACTTAGTTTACCTTTTGTATTCTCCTCAGAAAGAACTCTATCACCAATATCATCCATCAACCATTACAAAGAGATGGAATTAAATTCTACATCATACAAGTAAGAACTAACAGGACCTTCATCATCACCCAATAATGTAGCTTCTCCTTGTCATCGGTGTTTTCCCACCGGATCCTTTTGATCTTACAGTCAGTAGACTCAGTACTATTACCAATTCTCACTAAAATTAATCTCTTCAATGATTTAACCTCTCTAAATAAAAAATGAACAACCCCATAAATCATGGCATGCTGTAGAGAAAGAGTTAGAGAAGAATAACCACGGCAACACATGGTGCTCAAAAGCATGAATGCAACAAGACGGTACGGTTATGAGATCTGGATAATAGGCATCCGAGGAACCAGGGGTGAAGAAATTGTTGAAATTAGTACTACACATGAATCATCACGAAAAAGAATGCAATTACATTTGACAGCAGCAATTAAAACTTATGATTAATGCCAATTATTTCAAAATTGTTCTCATAATCATTCAATTTGAATCAAGGTGAAACTTCAAAAAACTGTTCAGACTCATGCCACCATGTCAGATTGGAAGATGAGACCATACAGATTGTTGTTCTGGGAAACATGCCATTATTGTAACCTTTGAAATTAAAACTTTAGCTTTATATAATCAATCTCAATCAAGAAGTGTTCACGAGCACAACCACAGTTTTGATAAACAAAGAGAAAAATCACAAAAGATAAGCAAGTTTCCAGACAAGCAAAGCAAGTTAATTCATTTACAAAACAAGTATCAGACTTAGAAAAGATAAATAGTAACTGATGTAATTGAAAGTTTACAACAGTAATAACTAAAAACAAGAAAAATTAAGTACCTGATCTTCTTCAATCGCTCAAGATCATCCCTAAGCTTCATGTCCAACGCATTGGAGACAACCTGAGAGTACCTACCATCCTTGTAATCCTTTTGCCTGTTCAGAAACCAGTCTGGGATCTTAAACTGGCGAGGGTTTGCCACAATCGTCATCAGGTTGTCAAGCTCCGCAGCAGATAGCTCACCAGCTCTAAGGAAACCAATTTACAGAAAAATTTAGAAGAACCCACGTGAAACACAATATTTTTTCCTTAAAAAAAATTGCAAATCCATCCAAAATCATAATTTGCACTTCAATTAATCAATGCTCATAAAAAAGTACATAGTAAACTTAAGCTCCCCAATTAGATTTAAACTCATACGAGAAGCAGTACCTAGAAAAGGAATAGCAAAGCTCTAGATCGAAAATAAACAATAAGATTATTGAGTGAATTAATGAGAGCTAGCAAAGCATGATTTGCATAATTAAAAAGATATGCATAAGTAAGGTCCAACGTTTAAGTGCTAAATTTCAAAATTAAAAAAAGATGAACATTGAGGTGTATTAAGATTCAAAGAACATAGTCTGTAATATATTTTTTGAAGCAATCAATGATATTGACATAAAAATAGGAGAAAGTGAAGAGAGAAATAGAGAACCTCTTGTTCATGTCGACATCAGCTTTCTTGCAGACAATGTTGGCGAAACGGCGACCAAAACCTTTGATGGAAGTGAGGGCGAACATTATCTTTTGTTTGCCATCTACGTTCGTGTTTAACACACGAAGAATGTGTTGAAAGTCCTCGTTCGCCACCAAAGACTGCACAATTACATATCCAATATCTTATTAAATAAATCAATGTATAAATTTAACCATTTTTAGTTTTAGACTGTAAGAAGGATGTATGGATTGAAAGTCAAAACTCACCATCCTATGATTCTTTCAGTTTTTCCTTCTCTATTCAATTCGTGCTTTGACCGGTGAGAGAGTGAAAAACGAGAACGAAGATACAAGGATTATAAAGGGTTGGCTTCAGAGGACAAAACCCTAGAGAGAGGGTGCGTGTTAAGATATAACACGTGTAGTTCATTGCGAGCGTGCTAGAGTGAGTAACCAACCTATAGCTAGAGGGGCGAACTGTGTAATACGGTGAAGTGTAAGGAGTAAGGACACAAATAAAATTCAGTAAAATGACTATAAAATCTTCCGCTTTACCCTAAATTCCTTCTGTGTCCAATTGGATAAAATCAACTACCCAGAAACTATTGAGAGAAACAAGTTGAGGCAGAGATTGCAATTGCAAAGAAAAGAAATTAGTTGAGCTAAAAATCCCAGTATGCTGCGTATGGCGTAGTATCATTCAAGAGATTTCCTTTTGTCTTACATTTGTTTGAGATACAAGACACAGAAATGGCTATAATTCTTGCAGCAAAAACATATCCCCTCAGTTTTGGAATTTCCAATACCATCAAGAAAATCTTCAAGCCACACACTGACTGTAAGTAAAAATCTTCCCAAGAATCTTGCTTTCACATCTCAATTCACATTTACATTGTAATCATGAGTACATTTAATGCATCTAATTTATATGTTATCTTGCAACAAAGCACATGAAATGCAATCCAGGTGTCATGTTGTGGTGCCATCTCAAGAGGCCGCATTAAGTCGCCGGCATGCTATAGTGTGTAGCAGTGCTTCATTGGTTGCTGTTTTGAGTTTCAACTGTGGGTTAACCCCATTACCAGCTGAAGCTGAAGATAAGTCAGAGGGAAAAGATGAGAAGGATGAAGGAGTTGTCGGGGCTATTAAATCACTATTTGATCCAAATGAGAAAACAAAATCTGGGAAAGTTTTGCCAAAAGCTTACTTGAACTCAGCAAGAGAGTTGGTGAAGACATTGCGTGAATCATTGAAGGAAGATCCCAAAGAAATAGCTAAATTCAGGAGGAATGCAGATGCAGCAAAGGAGTCTATTAGAGACTATTTGAGTAATTGGAGGGGACAAAAGAGTGTGGCTAGTGAGGTTTGTATATTGATTAACTTGCATGATTTTGAAGTGCAAGGAGTACTGAATGTTATATCTGTTGTTGATTTCATTATGAATTTACAATCTTCTTGTTCAATTGCAGGAATCCTATGTTGAGCTAGAGAAAGCAATCAGATCTTTGGCAAGCTTCTACTCAAAGGCAGGGCCTTCTGCTCCTCTTCCAGAAGAGGTTAAGTCTGAAATATTAAACGATTTAGATACAGCTGAAGAATATTTGTGATAGCCTGAACAGCACCGTGTTAATGTACATTAATTTCAGTAGTTTTGAATCAGCGTACTTGAAATTGGCGAATTCAGGCGATTTTTTTCTTCGGTCTAATTGAAGGCTTGTGTAGCATTTAATGGACTTTATATTTGCGGCAAAGAGAGTTATAAAGTTGTTTGTGAGAATTCTATCTCCCCGGTTCAAGTTTCAGAAGCAATAGATTACCAGATAAAAAGGCTAAAAACCGAAGAACAACAGAGAGATTGAGAGCAAAATAAACACCAATATTTCCATTAAGCTGTGACGATATGATCCGATGACTGTAATCTTAGGACATAATCTAATGGCCAATAAGCACAAGGATATTCCTCGAGGATCAAGCTAAATCTCTAGCAACCAAGATAGGTGGTAACAGAATTTGTCCTCCTTTTATGGTAACAAAATTTCTCCTCTTCTATGAGTTGTAGGACTATCTCCAGGATGGCTTCTCTCCTTTTCTTCGACATTGTTAGTACACATTGTTAATACACAGTTGAAGCAATGGTAATTATGTCGATGTTGGGACCATGGAAGACAAATACAACTCGCAATGCATGCAGATTGGAGCAATTTGCTCTTCTAGTTATCATTTGTAATTTGAATGATAAGAGTTTCTTATATCAATGAAAATGGTTTAATGAATTCCAAGCTTCAGCATTTGCTTCAGTCTTGTTACATGGCTACACCATACTTCGAATAATTTTCAGATATAACAAAACCTCTGTGGCGTGGTGGGATACAATCTGAAAGTTAATGTATAAATACTCTGTTACAACTGAAATTGTACCTATTCAAGCCCTTCCTATTTAAACCAAAAACAAATTGAAAAAACCATGTACCCAGAACAGAATAACATTTTTTTTTTGTGAAAATTAGGACCAAGCTATTTGCAAATTCAATCTCTAACATAAAAGCAAGGCTATCAACAGTTTTTTTTTTTTTTTTTTTTCCTTTTGGAAGTCAATAAGCATTTTTTTTCCTCTTCAACAAATTGATAACTTTTCGAGTTTGAGGAGATCATCTCAAGTGACAAAAGAAATTATTACGGATTGCCACATTGCAATTAGCTTCAATGTATGCAAAACCCACAACCAGAAATTGAAAATATATGTAAGAATTTCCCCACGATTATTGAAAACTGTGAAAGAGTATCTCATTGACAACTAATTTATTCTAGTTCTTCAGTGTTTACAGGCACAGAAACTGATAATCAGATAGTCAAATCCTGCTTCATCAACATTCACTTGAAAGTTAAAAAAACCATATATTTCTACATGTCCAGCACCGTTCACCAGAAAAGTCACTGGCAAATTTGAAAATCTCTTGCTCTGTCTAGCTGAAGCAGCATTCCAGCCGATGATAACAACTCCAAACAATGCACATTGCAATGGTGTCACCCTTATACATAATCGCCTTAAAAGCCAATTCAAATTCCATCCGCTTCACATGATGCCAATGAAGTATCAGGATCGTAACAGGACCCCTTTTGAGCTGTGCAAAAAAGTTGTAACATGACTTAAAATTTGAGTAGTGATATGAGTTAATACCTCAGTCACTAGTTAATCATACGAAAAATACAATTCTACACATCAAAATTTCCTTTTTGGTATGAATAAAAATTATTGGAGACACCAAAAGGTGTAACATGACCTTTAACAGTACTAAAATTTCTGTTACAAATAAATAATGCAACAGTTCATGAGGATAAAGAAATCCTTTTAATGCGTAATACACCTCTACCACACAATCAGCTGTCTAATGATGCCAAAGACGAAAGAAATTGGGACTACGATTTTATGGTCAATGGCTACAACATTTAATGGCATGAAAATGAAAATTTCAAATAATACCTTCATTTTATCAAATTACCATACTTTCTAATAATAAAAAAGCATATCTGAAGATGTAAACAGAAGTAAGAAGCAGAAAATATGGTTTTGCAGCAGGAGAATATCTATGACATTGATAGAACACCACCAACACCAAGACCCATCACACATGTTTACAGGATAAGGAAGAAAGGGAATGATTAGTTATTAGGCCTTTTGGGGAGTTTGTTAGTAAAGAGCCACGTGGCAACAACAAGAAGAATAGTGTTGTTACAGCTGGGTATAAGTCTGGGCAGATTACTTGTAAAAGGGAGAGAATGTTTCAGTATAAATTATAGTGGGAGGGTCCTAACACCTCGAATAGTTAGTTTTATGTTAATTTTCTGCTTTTCTTACTTGTTCACGAAGAATTGTTAATCATACATCTTTACATTCATAAATACAGAGTACAGTATTTCACTCATTTTGTTGGATATTTGCTTGAATTCTCAGTTTAGTTCTAGGGGATTTCTGGTTTCCTAACAGACACCAAGAACTCGAAAATGTCATGGTCACATAATGATACTACTGCAGTACAGCCCCTTTGGTACAACATTTTTACCCTATCCTGTTCTACTATCCTATCCAAATACATATTTGTTACAATATTCAAAATTTTCTTCAATATTCAATAATATTCTACTCAACTCAAAATATTTAGATTATTTTTAAACCCTTAGGTTTGTTAATTTAACTAAACACCCCCAACAATAAAAGTTTATAAATTGACAAAAACAACCCCACCCACCCACCCACATTTGTTAGATTCCAGCTGCCACCGCTGGAAGGTAGCCAGAATCTGCCGTAATGGCACTATCGACTAGATACGGCCGGTAGTGCACCGATCTGGCCTTTTCCAGCCAGATCCACAGTGGATCTGGTCAGAAAATGCCAGATCGTCGCACTACCGGCCATATCCAGCCGGTAGTGCGCCATTACAGTAGATTCCAGCCAGCTTCCGGCGGTGGTGGCCGGAATCTGGCAAATGTGGGTGGATGAGGGTGTTTTTGTCAATTTATAAACTTTATTGTTGGGGATGCTTAGTTAAATTAACAAATCTAGGGAATTAAAAATAATCTAAAAATTTTCAGAAAATACTATTAAAAAATGTACAAAAAACTTCTCAGAATACCATTCAACTCAACTTTTTCCAAAAGACTATTCTAAAAAGTGACAAAATAGTGAACCAAACGAGCCATAACTATTCCTCATCTTTATAATCAACTTCAGAATATCTTAACTGGAAAAGGCCATGCATTCAAAATTTGATAAAACTTAATCTAAATAGAATATAACAAACCTTGGTATTGTCCCACAGCGTCGTGGGTCTTCCTCAGTTGCTTGCCGAAGAGCCCTAGCAAAAGCTTTGAAGGTTGCCTCAATAATATGGTGAGAATTTCTTCCAGCAAGCTGTTTTCAACCAAAATTATAACTATGAAAAACCAGAGAAAAAACTATCTTTTAAAGATTGAAAGATATGAACAAACGTATCTTTTAATCTATAATCAACAAAGATTATATACATAATTGGTCAAAAAAAAAGAAAACTATAAATTAAAGAGAAGTGAACAAAAATTGCTTAGAATAAAATTTACATTTCAGATTGCAAATAAATTCTAGCCATAAACCAATCTTAATGAATAATGTACAATGAACTTTAAGCACACTGTATAACTACAAAAAAAATTTAGTTCCTAACAAAAATGAACATTTGGATGATTTAATATCAAAAAGACTACATTTAAGCAGCTCTCAGTAATCATACCTGTCGGATGTGAAGTGTCATGCCAGAAGTATTCACCAAAGACTGAAAAAAGTGCTCCACCAACTGTACATTAAAGAGTTCTAACAAAATTATTTAAAAAAAAAAAGTATTTTGGCCAATAATAAATCCAAGAAAAAAACAGAAACCAGTAACTACCAGCTTAGTTATACTGTGATTTCAAAATTCTCAAAGATACAGAGAGCATCATACTGAGTTAGCGTCTCCATAGGAGAAAGCGGAACAGATTGAGAATTCTGAAAGTTTAAGTGTGGAAGTAAAGAAGCAAACAATACCTGAGTATCATATGTTCCAACCCTCTCTGTAGGAATTTGCAAATCATAACTTAAATGTGGTCGCCCGGATAGATCCTGAATTGAAAACCATATCAAATAAAGCATACAATTTAAATTTGAAAAACAAACTAATAGACAATTCCAACAAGAACCAAATCTTTGAATCACAACATAGTGTACATGTAAAAGTAAGCCTCAAAAAAGAAGAAGGAAAAAAAAAAAGAAAAAGAACATGAGGCTCAAGTATAGTGAAGTCTTAAGTATTTCCACAACATTTAAAAAGAAATAACTCACAAATTTCAAATCAGATTCTCATCAGATAAACCAAGTACTGGAGATATCCTATTTTCCCATTCTAAAGTTTCTTTCCATGCTAAAATAAAAATCGAAAAACTGGCATATGCTATAAACTTCAATATCATCAAATCCTCAAACCATAGCTCAGGACGATAAATTGAAAGCAAGACACAAAGTTTCTATCATAACTTCGGTATGATTTACCAGAGTGTATTAATTTTAAATCAGCCATCGTTTCTGTAATCAGTAACAGAAAACCATTCAGTTGCCTAAAGATGATAAAAAGATAAAGCTTGATATTCACCATCAAATCCTTTTAACCCTTGAACTAATGAATACAATTAGAAACAATCATACCAATGAAACATGTATTAATGCTTCATCAAGTGGTGCCGAAAAGTCCCCAAACCGATTAATTCCTTTCCTATCACCAAGGGCTTGCAACAATGCCTGACATCAAATTACAATAAACTCTTAACATTCTCAAGATACACAAGTTTACAAACAAAGGTTCAGGCTTGAAATAGTTACCGTTCCAATGGCAAGCGAAACATCTTCGTTGGTATGGTGATCATCAATGTGAATGTCTCCAGTTGCCCTCACGTGCACGTCAAACAGCCCATGAGAAGCAAGTTGCTAACCATTACCAACACCAATACACATAACTCAGATTAATCATTGATTGTAAATGTAATTTTTTTTTTTAAATAATAAAAAAATAAAAATAAAGAAACAAAAACATACATCTAACATGTGATCGAGAAAGGGAATGCTAGTGGAGGAGTCAGCAACTCCGGAACCGTCTAAGTTAATCTTGACAAAAACATTGGTCTCTTTTGTCACTCTTTTCACTTCCCCAATTCGACCTGAAACAGCCAAAAACAAAAAAAAAAAATCAGAATGAGAATAAGCATTTAAATTGTGGATCAAAGTTAAAAGAGAGAGAAAGCTGAATAATGGCTTTGACCAGAACCGGGAGTTGAAGAAGTTAAAGCGGAGCCGTTGTTGGTGGTGGAGATGGTGATATTGTCGTCAGGGTTTAGAGAGGCGCGTGTGGTGAAGAAGTTCATGTGGCGATTATGAATTGAAGAGAGGAGTAAGGAAGGGGAATGTATGGAGATTGGACAGCGAAATTTGTGAGGAAGATTAATTTTAATTCTGGGTTTAAGAAGAAGTAGGTGAGGTGTGGTGGAGTCAAGCTGAACAGAGAGCTGCATTTGTGAAACTCCAACAAATGCGAGAGAGGAACGACGTCGAACACACAAGATGTCTATGCTAAAACGCCCCGCTTTTGTTTGTCTAGTTGTGAGCTTGTTCCCAAAAATAAAATATCAAGAGGAAATTCATTATATTAAATAATTAAATGGATGAACGACCTTACCTAAGCTTATTTGTTGTAATTTATTTGATATAAATAAATAAACATTCAAAAACTTTACAAGTGTAAAGTTAATCATATGATATAAATATATATTAACCCTGTTTACTTCACAGATTGCCAAGGGAATGGGCAAAGGCGTTTCCTTCCTTACTTCATCATTTTTTTTATTTTTTTTATTAGAGAAATGGGTATTCCAAGGGACGGAATGGGTAGGAATTTCATCCTTGCCTTTATTTCAAACAAATATTTTTGATCATCTCCTTTTTTTATTTATTTATTTAATTAAATATTAATTATTTTATAATTAAATGTTATTGAATTAAAATGAAATATAAAAAATATTTTTATTTAAAAATTAAATTCTATAATATAAATTATTTTATTTCATTGTATTTAGAAAATTTAAAAAAAAAATCAAAATTTCAAAACTGATTAACGCCAGTCTGGCGACATTCCTTCACGTTTCTAGCATCACCACCTATGTGTGAAAGATCTCTGACCGGCGATCTACCTATCTAAGCGAAAATCAAGCGCGAAAACCAACATATGGATGTCAATCACAATGACGAGAGATACAACCGTCGTGCATAACATCCATACGTCAATCTTCATTTGATAGATCAGGGATCCTTCATGTATCTACGATGACACCAAAAACATGAAGTAACACCACCCTATGATAGCGTTGACCCCGATTTTAAAATTTTGACAATTTTTTATTTAAATAAAAATGATAATTTTATTTTATGAAATAATTTTTTTAATATTTTATCAGATTTAAATATAATAATTAAATCTCATTTAAAAATTTTATGAAATATATTAAATTATGGACTGACTTATAATAAAATATACATATACTGTATAATCATTTAATTTTTGAGGATAATTTTATCCAAAAAGTTATAAATTTTATTATATTCCATCGCATTTCATTATTACAAGTATCAAAGTAATCATATTTATTCCTTTACATATTCTTATTCTCTTCCTCATCCTCATTCCTATGCAGTCCACGAAGTAGACGCCACCCAGAAGCCTCGGTTAAACTTGATCACTGAGTAGGCGGCGTTATAAAATTCTGAAAGGAACTGGTTGTTTTGAACTCGTTTGATTTTGTATAAAGATGGTCGATAATAAAACTTAGTTAAAATTCAATTTTTACATTATATTAATATAAGTTAGATAACAATAAAAAGAAGTAATATTTTCAATACGAACTGAAAATATTAGAACGTGCACCTAGAAACAAGTCATGTGGGTTTGATACAATGAAAGAGTTCCAATTCCCAAAATGTGCTCACGAGCATGGCAAAGTGTTGAAAACTAGTTACAAGAGAAGTTCTCCTCATATTTGTCATGTGATGAACTGACATAGATAGTGAACGAATTGCTACATAAAAATTAAATAAATTAGAAGATGGTGGACACACTATCAACTCCCTAGACTCATATTGGTTCAGCTATATACACTTTCAAGAAGTCCCGCCTACCAGCCTCTGGGGGAAAATTGTGCTTTGCAATTGCACCAACTTCACTGAAACTACTTCGCATGAAGGCGGGACGCTTTCGAGACTCTTTAGACTTGGTGCTTAGGGCCTCAATGAATTATAATACCCTTTTCCATGGGTGTCATTCATTAGGCTTTATGAATAATAGCATCAGAGCCTTAACATTTATGGAGGAAAAAAATGTGATCAAGTAGAGCACACAAGACCACCACCCATGTAGCAGCCAGATCAAACAGAGTTAAATTCAGTTTCCATTTCAAGCACAAGCATTTTGGACGCCATTGCTGCATGGATGTACACTACTTTCTTCACAAACTGTTGCTTCACAAGCATCTTCTGAAGACACAAGTTTATGTACCTTCTCACATGTAACGTGATCATTTGAATCAGTGGTAATTTGCATGGAAGAACGTGCATCAACTGAAATTTCAATGCTCGCTTCAGTTGTATTCTCTGCAGTAATGTCCCCTGGACATGGGGCAGAATCAGGATGTGCAACTTTATCATCTAAATTATCTGGATTACCCTCTTTCTGTGATTGAATATTATCTTCAGAAGGAGAATGTGATGAATTCTGGTTTATCTGCAGTTCATCATGACTGGCTTTGGAGAGAGGAAACTCCTGCTCAGAAGCAGGTTCAGATGATTTCCCCTCTGCTTGTGAATCAACAATTGAACTACCTGCAACAGAAATGGGAATCTTAACTTCATCAGAAGCAGCCACGTTTTTATCTGTGTCCCAGCCATCATCCTTATCATCCTCTCTACATGACTGAGGACCGTATTTGACAGGATCATCTGATGCCGGTCTGTTGTGCATGTCCAATGCATCATCACTGGTGCCACAAAACCCCTCAACTGAGACTGGCATTTTAACTTCATGAGGAGAAGCAATATTAGTATCTATAGAATGGGCATCAACCATATCAACGTCTTTAAAAGACTCGGGATGCTCTTTGACAGAAGAATTCAGCTCTGTTTGCATGTCATGATTCTTGTCAAAGACAAGAGACTTGTTCAAAACAGATTCAACAAATTTGTCCTCTACTTTTGAATCAGAACTTACACTCCTCTCAACTGTAACTGGAAATTCAACTTCATGTGAAGTGGCAATGTTAACATCTATTGAGCAGGCATCATTCGTATCACCCTCTTTGCAGGACGGCAAGTTATCTTGAAGAGGAGAATCAGATAATTGATTATTTTCCATATCCATTGCATCTGCACTTATGCCCGGTGCAGGACGAGTTTTCCTCTCAGAAGCAAATCCAGCTGACTTGCTCCCTAAATCAGAACCAGGGTGTAATGTTTCCTCCACCGAGACTTCGACTTCATGAGAAGTGGCAGAATTGGCAGCCACTGCATGGGCATCATCCACATCAGAGTCTGTAGAAAACTCTGCATTATCTTCAACAGCAGAATTTAACTCTGGTTTATTACCCTTCTCCAGTGCATAATGACTAATGCCAGCAGTGGAAAGACAATTCTTGGCAGAAGCAGACTCTGCCGACTTGTCCCCTAATTGAGAATTAGGACTTACAGTTTCCACAGCAGAGACAGGAATTTCAACTTCATGAGAAGCAGAAACAGTAACATCTACGGCATGAACAACATCCATATCAACCTCTTTATTTCTCATCTCAAATTCATCATTGCTTGTATCGGAGTTAGAAAGACACTTCCCATCTGAAGCAGATTCAGCCAACTTGTCCCCTGATTGAGAATCAGGGCAGGGTGTCCCCTCAACCAAGACATTAGTTGGTCCCTCCGAAGAACCACTCAGCACAGATGTACCATTTAAGGAAACATCTGGACACTTGGAGTCAGAATCTGTGGCAGCAACCTCACCATTTATCAGATTAGCATGAATCAAACCACTATCAGCACACTTATCAGGATCAAGCTCAGCCAAGGAATCAATATTCGACTCATTTGCCACCTCAGGTGTAACACCAGCCTTGGCCTCTGACTCTGTTTTCTGTGAACCTGTGGAGCAAGAAAAGAGACTCAGCTAAATAACAGGAGATAAACATATGGTTAAACAGAAAGAGAATAAATTGCATGATCTGAAACCTGTTCTAGCTTTCATGTTCTCCGTGACACTTTCCTCCTCCAGTAGCAGTTTCTGTAACATATCTATACCAGGGAATACCAACATATTCAAAGACCTCGTTTCTTGCTTAAGTGATTCCTCTAGAGGGGTGAAACCAAAAATCCCTGTCCAAGTATGCATAAGTTCCGCAATTGCAGGGATAACCAGTTTTTCAACCTTGAGAGAGCAGAGAGCCTTCAAACAGAATAAAAACAAGATGAGATCAAAGGAGAATTGAAGGAACAAAAACATAAAAAGGCAAAACACACAGACAAAAAGATCTGTGAATATTCATTACAATAAATGCAAGAACATAGGGGCATAGTTATAATAGCTTACTGATTCAAGGGCACAAAAAAGTCGACGGCACATTCCCTGGCGCCTATATATATGGCGAGTTCCAATGAAGGGCATCTCTGCTAATTGAGTCCCATGGAATCTAACCAGGAAATGACAATGAAATGGTACAACTTTATCAGTATACTAATCCACAGACACATCATATCCCAGCCCATTAACTAGAACTCCCATTCCAAAAAGAGTGACTGGATAAAGACAATAAAATTATATATGTTTCTTTTTCTTTGTTGTTGTCCTGTTCAACTTTATAGCATTTTCCATGCGCTTGTTTCAACAATTATTTTGTACAAAATAATAATGGGAAGGAGCTACACCCCATTATTGAATAAGATAAATGACCATGAGAATAATGTGGCAAGGTACCTGATAGATGCTGCTGAAATTATTTCATCCCCCCTCTCCAGAATAGCAGTGTAGAATCCACTAAAATTCAGCCTATTGAAGTTTGATCTTAAAAAGACAAAAGGAAAATACATCAACTAATTTTAGTCAAATAAATATAGACCATAATTGCAAAGACAATATATTAAGTCTAAATAGTCCAAAAAGGAGGATAATATAATTGGAAAAACAACGATCACAAGCACACACGCAGAAAAACACGTACTTATACAACATTCACGAATGCTGACATCAGAGCAAAAATGAGAAAGACCATAACATAAATAGTGTTCATAGCATAATTAATGAATATGGAAACAACCAGTGCCTTAAAAGTATAAAAATTAATATAAAATACAGATTATCTATCTAAAAAGCTTGTCCATTTTTTAATTATAAGATTGAACATATTTGCACCAAAAAGCTAACTACAGCACAGCAGCAAGTTAGCGTTACTTCATCAAAACATCATTTAGCCATCAAATCAAACAACTGACAACAAAACAAGATTCCTGGTCCAGCCCCCCCAGTGACACAAGCAAAGTTGAAAGTCTTTACGCTTGAGATAGTGACAAAATTTATTCATGCAGTCACATTGTTGACAGGCAAAGATCATCTGAGTTATACAATAAACTAGATCATTAAGGAAATTCATATTTTCCTTATACATAAAATAAAATTTTCTTATAACAAATGCACAACTGAGGTTGTAAATTGACAATTGATGTTAGTTTGGTCACTAACAAGCAGGTCAGAGCAAGAAGATTTCACAAAAATTAAATATCGAACATTGAAAAAGATTGTTCTAATCTGTTCTATATGGTCTAAAAACAGAAAAAGTACAAACTCCAATATATCTTTGAGTATACATATAATACTATTTTATTTAGTAAAATAGTAAAATTAAAGCTAAAATGAGTCCAGAACTGCAGATGTTTCATAATCTTAACTTGTAAGACAATCTCCCTACTAACAATTGACCCAATTCGGTTTGCTGTAAGAAGACATAGAGAACAATAGGTTGATAAGTGTCCCCTAAAATCATCTAAAGGATTGCAATTGAATATAAAAAGCTCAAGCATGATATCTAAGACCAACAACCTATTGTCCAATTGCATTCCCCAAGGCAAAGAGAAAGTCCATAATTAGATTTTAAATATGATTGCATAAGTTAGAAGCACTGCCCATAGAAAAGAGGTCCTAAGTTCAAATAAGCATATGGTACAGTCTTAATCATTGCCAATCACAAATGCATACCATCATCCCATGCAATCACATGCAGTGATATTGATGAAGACCATAAGGAAAAACACATGACAAAACCTTTCGCATGCTTATGCTAAATGCAAAATAATCTATCAAGATAAACATCCTTGAAATATATTAGGCCAGCGAAGCATTATTTCAAGAAAATAAAGGCCAAATTATCATTGTTTTCTGCTAACTTTTAAAAATGCTTACCCCGAATTATAAAGAACATTATCAAGAAAATAAAGGCCAAATTATCATTGTTTTCTGCTAACTTTAAAAAATGCTTACCCCGAATTATAAAGAACATTATGAATTAAATTGACTCCACTCCTCCGGTCAACAATGGGCAAAAAGCATTCATCCATAACAGTCAGTGCAACAGCCAGCTTAGAATTGCTTTCCACCCTTTGAGGAAGTCCTCGAAGCATTGTGTCTGAATCTTCACCCGTTCGATGAATAAGGGACCATGAAAATCCCGATTCTAACTCTTGTTTGACCCCCAGATATTTCTGCAAATGCTCAAACAGCTGCAGTAGCAGCAGAAAAATACAAAATTATAAGTGGCAGGTTAGAAGAATATCATTCTCACACTACAAAAAGACAAGAGGTCAACCAGTACAAAGCAACAAGGAAACCCCTCTCACTCATTAAGTCCCCATCCAGAATAACCCGCGGCATACACCCACACACCAACTAAAACAGAATAATGATCTCTCTTTCTCAAAAGAAACACATTGAAAGTATTTCAAGACAGTAAGAAGATGGGCAAAATCAAAATACACCCAGCGTCTGAGGTCATGAGCAAAGGTAACTGCAGTTAAATAACCTAAACAAATATCTCTATTCTCAAACTTCCAGGAAAAGAAAACAAAGCAGCAAAAGCAAAAGACATAACTTTGTCTTACTCAAAATACCATTTTTAGCAGAATTCGTGTCTAAAGAATCATAAAAGCTAAAAATTAACCAAGATGAATAAAATTGAATATTTGTAACCAGCTACACTGTCACTGATGGAGGAACAAAACTAAATCTTGAGCTGAAGTCCAATTTGCAACCTCACAAAACTGCCATGCCATCCCTTGAATGCAGCTTAATGTAACAACAGCCAAAAATCCATTGAAGAACATGGAACATTTAAAGCCATATAAATTAGATTTCTAACAATAAATCTAGTATCTTTCAACAAAGCATCAATAAAAGAAAAAAGCCCCCTTCAATTGCTAATATTTTACACATATTAATAATAAAAAGAGAGAGAGAGAGAGAGAAAGGAAAAAAGTAGAAGGAAGAAAGGCAAGACCATGCTTAGCGCAGTCATGAAACAAGATCATATGTGAATATCTACCAAAGTAGCAACAATTCCCACAATTCATAAAACTCAACTAGTATAAACCACAGTAGAAATGTTTGCTCAAAAAAAAAAAAACAATAATTCCACAAGTGGCACCAAGTAACCAGAAAACTAAATTCAAGGAAGCAAGAAGAAATTGATACCTCTCTGCATGTCTGCCCACAAAAAAAAGTAACTGAACAATTTGAATAAACTGGAACAGCATCCATGTCATGCATGCACAATTTGTGATCTACAGAAGTGGAAATGTAAACTCAAATCAGAATCTTAGGAGTGCTCAGAAAGGCAGGAAGGCGATATTCTATAAGTAAAAACAGAGATTTGCAAAACCAGAAAAAGAAAACAGTACATTTTTTCTCACACATGCTGCAGGTAAGTAGTGAACAAGTTGTTACATCACTTCCTTCATCAATATCCTCACCAGCTGAACCACAAAATTTGCACGTACAATTCGGACAGTGCCAATCACCAGCTGGAAGCATCTGCAATGTAATGAAAGATTTAAATGCACTCTCAAGTACTAAAAAGATTAAAAGATTTAAGTAAACCAATTTCATTATCCATAACCACGAAGCAAATTCAATAACAAGTACACCATTGTCACGTATATCAGTTTGCTTTCACGACTAAGTTGGAGCAAGCTCAAAGGAGTAAAACCTCCAATAACAAACATTGATACCTAGTTCAGATAAATGACTAAATAAGAAAAAGGGCATATCATTCATCATGAGACAACTACAATGTGAGTGGCCAAACATTTGAGAATTTAGTTCAAGCGATTGACAGCACTAAGAGCCCAAAACATCATGGATAACACCCAACAAACAATTCTTGCATGAATATATGCTATCTAGCAGAGCAGCAAGATGTTTAAAGATCCCTAATTCTTCCAAACCGGAAAAAAGAGCTAGCAACGTTCTTCTGGTAGTCACTACCTATCTTAGTCCTACATATAACTGTTAGCTCAAAAAATAATATCTTACCAACCTAAATGAACTACTCAAATTATCTAACATCCTTTCCTAGTTTCTTACATCTGCACAACTCCTAAATATGTTTACTTTCACAACTCCCGAAAATATCCAAATATAGGGCGTAAAAAAATACATTAAAGGCCATGTCACACCATAACATTAAACTAATGAATGTGATTACTCCACAAGTTTATCAAAACACTCAGAAATTTCACCTTCTCAAGCATTTTGCTTTATTCATTAACCTAAATTCAAATAGAAAATGGCACATTAACCCCCAACAAAATACTGAAGGAAAACATAGACGAAAACAAAGAGTACCCCTCATATGTGAATACTGAAACTAATGTAGACATACCTGTATATCTAGGCAGTTCTGATGAAATGTGGAAGGACAACCATCACAGCAGATCAAATCCCCACCATCTCCACATATGCCACAAGTATCATCATTTGGATCATCCCCGTCAATGTCCACAGAGTCAAAACCAATGCGCTCAGAATCCTCTTGTCTATTCCATGCATCAATTTGGCATTGCAGAAGGGAATCCCCAGAGTCCAAATAGATGTTTTGAAATGGTTGCCGCAATTTGCTTCCCGCATGAATCTCAAACTTTGAAACTGTGAGTATTTTACTGCAACAACCACAATGAATGCCATCTCTCGTAATCCAGCCCTCCAGCATCACTTTTGTTCGACGACGATTCATATACTGCACCTTTTGGCTCAATTGCACAGTCCCCGAGTCAATCAGCCAAGAAAGCAGCGTGCGCTTTCCAGCATATGGAACAAATCCATCAGTCTCTGAATTTGGTCCACCATTGGAACTACGAACCAACAAAGTACATCTGCCAAGTTTTCTACTCTTCCTTCCATGCAATAAATGAGAATTGGATGCAGAAGAAGGTTTTTCATCACCATCATGCAAATGATGAGTAGAACTCTGACCTTTTGAGTTCTGGCTGGCAACACCATTCTCATTCATTCTGCTCTTTGATGATTTTCCACCCTGCTTTAAAAATGAACTTAGTTTCTCCTCATGGCTAATGCTGCCCATGCTCTCCTCATCGTGCCTGGCACTTGAAGATTTCTTGGCAGCAGCTTCCCTAGTGTTCACACTCTGACTGCCATCTCTTTGCTTCTTTTTCAATTCTTTCTCAATCTTCTTTCGTGTTTTTCGAGTTAATTGGCTAAGGACTTCATCAGACAATGGAGGTTTGACCTCTTCTTCTTCATCATTTAATTGCTTCAAAAGTGCATCATATGCCTTGATGATGGACCAGTAAGCTGTTCCAGAGGGGTTAATGTACACTGCATCAAGGTAGTCTCTATTCCTCCTAGGCCTGTAATCTATTGTCCAACCTGCCTCCACAAGCATCCCCCTTATCTTTTCGCGTAGTTTTTGTTTTTCCGTGCCACTACCACGCCTAACTTTTCCTTCTTTGGTACCAGTTAATGTGAGCTTTCCAGCAGGAGTTTTTTCACTTTCAGAGCTAACCTCTTTCAGGGATTTACGAGCTTCTGTTCTCTTTGGTCCAAGTTTCAATGCAGTATCACTGTCATCTGAATCAGAGTCAGCGTCCTTACTCTTCTTAGCTGACAGAGATTTTTGCAAATTAATGTGATTTTTCTCGGTCCTAACAAATGATGAAGGTTTCTCAAGAACTTCTGTTTCTAAGTAAGATGGAGGACGTATAGGCACGTTCCTATTACTGTCTCTAAAACTGTTTAGGTTTTCCTCAGTATCCAAGTGATCATACTTTTTCACAGGCTCACCCATCTTTTTCTTCTTGTTCACCATCACCTTTAGAACCCCATTTTTCCCCTGAAGCCTAATGGGTTCATCTGAATCTCCCAAATACTTCTCTCTCAACAATGATATAGGCATCCGACCTGCATCCCTATCCATCCCAAACCTATTCATGCCACCCTGATTAAAGCTACTTGTCCTCTCAAGAAACAAATTCTTTCTCTTATCAACAACATTTCTACTCGAACTAGTATTGAACTGACTCTCAATCCCACTTCTTCCCATAGCCATCGGCCCCAAAAACCTTCTGCCCCCGATATCTACTCTGCTATTTTCCAAATGCTTCCGCCTCCTCATCATTTCCCCATCAACCCCATCGTACTCATCAAACTCAAAGACATCTAATCTATTCCTCTTCCTATCACTATGCCCGTCATTTCTACCAATCAAATCATCATCATTATGCCTAATTCGCTCCACCCTATCCCTATCCCTATCCCTCTTCCTTCTAAACTCACTCTCTTCCACACCACCCTTCTCTAAAACACTCAAACCATTACAAACTCTTAACGTCTCAGCACCCACCCTTCTACGAGGTGGCATTAACAGCTCATCACTGGACCCAGAATCACTCATAACCATCCTAGGCCTCTTTTTTTCCTTTTTAGACTCAAAAACCTTCCGCGTGCCAGAGGAACCAGCCACACTAACATCCTCGCTCTTCTTTCTCACAATTAAACAACCTGTAGAGCTCCTATTCTTCATAATGATCCCTGATTGGTCGCCAGATCTCCTACTCTCAGCCATAAATGCCAATGATCAACAGAAAACCCTAAATTTAAACAAATTTGCTCCTAAACATCCCAAAATCACGTTAAAACACACAAAGAAACCCTAAATTTCAAAACTTCCAATCATAATTCATCATCATACCAAATTATTCTCCAAAACCAAAACAAACAAAGTCATTACAAACCCTAAATGTCTCTCAACCACACTCTCAAACCAAAAACCACCAGATCTGAAGGAGAACTAAAACCATAAATTCCAAACAGGAAAGTAGAAAAAATAAAATAAAACGCTTCAGATTTTCACATTACAAGAAACGTTGCCGCGACGCAAAGTCTGGAAAGAACAATACCTCGCCAGGCTTTAACGATTCCGTTAAAGAAAGATTTGACGATCGATTGCTGACGTAACAATTTCCCGGCGAAAGAAACAAGATACAGGAAAAGAAAAAAGAGAGAGAGAGAGAGTTTTGGGGTTTGGTTTATAATGCCTCTTTAACCATTATGTACTAATTTCTCTCTCTTTTTGTTTAATTTTATTTATTTATTTTTAATTTTCTTTTATACATGTTTTGGGCAAATTACCTTCCATACAGATTTCCCTCCAAATCTGGTTTTACGATGCCGAGCTGGATCTCGTAAAGCTATTGTGATGTTGCCACGTAATCCAGAAGTGGTTCTGATAGTGAGGTGGCAAGATCAGGGAGGCTTGAAATGATGCAGGTGGCTGTTTTTACGGTTTGACTGTAGTACAAGTTTGGGTTTGGGATGAGTTGTTATTTACTATTTAGCTGAAAAGAAAAGTGAAATAGAAACGCAGAAGGAAGCGCGTGAGGAAAATGGATGGGACTAGGGTATCGAGACGGGAGTGGATTTTAGGTGAAGAAATCCTGGGGTTGTTCCCTGTGACATGATGAAAAGCTGTTTTGTGAGAAAATAAGAGTGGTTTTTTCTGTTTTCACCCACCTCACTTCTTTCATGTCCTATGGTTTTTGTTGTTTTTAACCACTGGTTCTGGATTTGCCACTCAATCTTGGAATAGATGCTATATAAATCTTTTACTCAGCGTGTGTGTGTATATATATATAACAAACTAGGTTTGGTGGATTTAAAGTCATTTAATTTGTGTTGTTTAGACTAAACCAAATATTATTATACCGCTCAAATATCATAAAATTTTATGTGTTTTCAATTAGTAAAACGACTTTTTTCCACCCAAATAATAGCTTAGGATGCGTTTGGTTTATTATTCTGAATAGGATTTTGGGGATAGTTAGATAGAGGAGAATTACGAGATAAAATTTAAAAATTTATGAAAAAACCCCCAAGGTTTGCTAATTTATAAACACTCCAATATATTAAAATATTATAAAATGACAAAAACACCCCTACCACCCGCAGTGCCAGATTATGGCCACCACCGTCGGAATCTAGCCGAAAAATTGTGTTACGACACAGACCAGTCGGATCTATATCGTAATGCGTCGTTATGGCCTTTTCCGGCCAGATCCACTACGGATCTGGCCGGAAAAGGCCAAATCTAAGGCTGGTTGTGGCCTTCGACGGCCAGAAAAAGGCCATCTTTAGTCGTCAACTATAGCCAAAGATATGGTCGTCGTTGACGGCCAGATCTGACCTTTTTTGGCCAGATCCACTGTGGATCTGACCGGAAAAGGCCAGATCTGGCCATTATCGGCTATTTTCGGTGGTTGTGTGACTATTGTGACAGATTCCGGCAACCATCTGGCAAGTATTGGTGGGTGGGGGTGTTTTTGTTAGTTTTTAAACTTTTTTTTTGGGATATTTATTGAAATTAATAAATATCTGGGGTCTAAAATAATTAAAAAAAATAGACTAATATTTTGGGAATAATGTGTCAAACAACATTTGAAGAATAAGATTAGGAATATGGATAAAAACAATAAGCCAAACGCACCCTTAATGATATTTTCACATCCCAGACTTTTAAAATACATTGAATGATACTTTTCCGCTAGTCCCACCAATCGTCGGCAGATTTTAGCATCGTTACGACCTTACATCACCACCATTCTCTTTCTTGATCATCATTCATCAAAACCCTTCAAACTTTACTCTCATCGATCTTGTTAATTGTCGACAATCGAGCGATTAGGATTTACACAGTCACCTATCCTAAGTCAAATTTTAACCAATCACAACTACCAAAATCTAACATTTTACCACCAAAAAACTCAATGACATTCCCTATTCAAAAGCCTCAAAAGAATGGGCCGAATTTGCTCTCCATTCGCCACTGAATCAGAAAGTGTATTTTTTTGGGTGAAAAAATAGAATTTTAAAAGTCAGTTTATAGAAATGTCATTAAGCCATTATCTAGGTGGGAAAAAGTCATTTTAACTCTTTTTCAATTTCCATAGATAGGTTATAAAAACATAAATGATCTGGTAGGATACTAACTTAGACTTTTATCCCACCCAGTTGAAAAGTAAAAGGGCAGGATCTGTATTATAGTTGACAATTACGACAAAATTTAGAAAGAATCTTTACTATATAAACATGACCATCATACAAATCCAAGTGCATCTTCCAACTACAATTTTCGGATACGATATGACGTAGCACTACGTTTAAACACAATTGATTCTACAGGCTATCATAGATTTGTGTTTACATTAGCCGACATCCTCCATTAGTGCATTATAACATTACGCATTTGGCTTTATAAGTTACCATTCAATGAACAGGTTATGATACGAATGGTGTATAATGTCAGCACTCAAATTGTTCATTTGGAAAAAAATTAAAACTCTTCTAATTGGATGATCATAATATTTCCCAAATATTGACCCCTAATTTGTTTAACTTTTTAAAATTATATTCTATTATCCTATTTAAATTAAACAGTAAAAAACGTATTTGTTTTAATATTAACGGAATTTAATTCAAAATCCAATTATATTTTATTCAACTTAAAACATTTAATAATTACCTTTCACAATAAATGTTTATAAATTAAAAACGCTCTCACTCACTCACTCAAGCCATTGTTGGCCACCAATAACCATCGTCGGTCGCCAGCCACCATCGCTGCCACCGCCAGCCATCGACGTCAGAACAATGCATATAGATCTAACCGTTTTCGACCAAATACATAGTAGATCTGACCGAAAAAGGCCAGATCGACGCACGACCGACCATATCTAGCCAGTCGTGCGTCATTTCGACGACTATCAACCATTGTCTGACAGTGGTGGTTAACTACCGACAGTTGGTCGGATGGGTGGGAGTGTTTTTGTTAATTTATATATTTTTATTGTGTTTGCGGGTGGGGTATTTAGTTAAATTAACAAATATAGAAGGTTAAAAATAATCTAAATAATTTTTGAAAATGTTTTCAAAAGATGTACCAAACACATTATCAGAATACTATCTTATTTAATTTAATCATATCATATCATATTATAATTTTTTAAAATATCATATTTCAAATAATGCACCAAACAAGCCTTGAAATTTTTTATCAATGGAGAAAGAATATCGACATTTTTGTTCAATAAGATGCCAAAGTGGATGACTGCCTCATTACATACTAGAAATAATCGCAGAAAATCTTTTGATAACACGGATTCTTATTTTTCAATGATATTCCACGATCAAGACAATTGGCTAAATTCTACTAAACTATTTCATAAAAGTTCATTGATATCTTCTTTTTATAAAACAAATCGACTTTTCCTCCTTAGAGTCAAATAACTTGATGAACTTTTTATTATTAAGAAAAAAGCTTCCTGATTATGCTATTAAAAGGCATATATATTCCAGGGATAAAAAGGGCAGTTTATGCAGTCAATAAGCCATCACATGCATTCCATTAAAACCAATGCATCATACATGTTGGTTCCATACAGATTCTTGACTATAACTTTTACAGTACTAATACACAATACAATTACTGTCTCATATCCTCACTTTGAAAGAAGGATTCCCCATAATTATTTGACAAAACATAGATGCAGTATTTGCAACTAGCAACTGACAACTTAACCCTAAAGTAAAGTAGCGCAATGTTAGAAAAAACAAAAAAAAAAAAAAAAAAAATCAGACCTGCTAGGTTTTCTATTATCTAACATTCACCCATACCATTGAAATGTTTCACATAATACATTGATCAAGGGTTCCAATAAAGGCATATTGATCAAGAGAAAATTTTCACAATGGAAAAACACAAAAATTAAAATTAGCATAAGAGTAAGCATTACCCTGATTAGCCTGTACTTTGGCTCATACTTTTTTGCGTTCTCAACTGAGTCATAAATCAGCCCAAAACCAGTTGATTTCCCACCTCCAAAATGGGTACGAAACTTGAATACGAATATGGAGTTTGCATCTTTCACCTCGTACATCCTTGACAATTTCTCCTTCAACTCCGCCTTCATAACAAATCGAAATTAAACACAAAAAGACCACAAATTTAAAAATATAAACAACATATGGTGCAACAATAATACCTTTGAAACATTGGCTCTACCTGGATGCAGAACATCAATGACCTGGTCAAACCAAACAAAATAATTCTTTTATGTTGTGTAATATGAATACAAAGAATCCTAATATGAATACAAAGAATCCTACCACAAAATGAGAAGTAGCTAATATGGTTCCACTTTAAAAATAAATAAATAAAGACCTCATAAACCAACCCTGTAAACCAGCTGAAGTACCAATCATAAAAATTGAATTATATCTGTTATACTGTTTTTGTTTAAAAAGTTTTAATGTAAAATAACGCATAAGCCTCAGGCACTCTAGCTATTCCAGGTCCAAATGACCAAATTTACTTCTTATATAATATAACTTCTTCTACATTTATTTAGTATTCCAACATTTTCTAAGCAACCAAGTCAGTACATATAAGTTTCTTTCACATGTAAGTATAGGCAAAAGATAGAAAGGTGTAGAACTCACGAACTGCTTTCTTGATAGGAGCCTGTTGGTCATGAACTTCCTCGTCCGAATCGTTACTGCTTTGCTGTCAGCCATTTCTCTGCAAAACTCTAGCTCTATATTAACCAGTATAAGTACGTAATTTAAATGGTAGCATAATTGTATAAATAACATTAACTCTAGTTTAGCAATTACTTTAAAGTGGATCTATGCAACTTCCAGCGTCAGAATTAATGTTGACAGTGTTGAAACGAGGCTGCGTTTGGCGGCAAACAACTGGAAGTGGTGGTCCTACTAGGGTTTAAGCGGTTGGGCCGTTTAAAGGCTTTATTTGAGTAACGGGTTAGTCATGCTCTATTTGTCTTAGGACTATTCTGTCCCTGTTTGATCAAAACATTTGCGGATTGCCTCGTAAGCTTGATAGATTTTTTTGTTTTGTTTTAAAGAATTAAAGCCTCGTACACATTAAATTCTTTCAATGAAATTAGGCGGTCCAAACCACCACCGGATGGTTTGATGATAAAAAAACAAAAGAGAATCTAAGTTTACATAGTCTCTTAAATTTGAGTTCTCATACAAGGATTCGACCCGAATAGGGCGAGAGAATCTCCAAAAATGTCGGGGATAGAGACGGGGACGATCCTAAAAAAAATCCCCACCCCTGGGGACAGGTTGGGGGAGGGGATTATGCAATCCCTAGCCTGGCTCGTCAACCTCGCCCCCGTGGAGCCCTACTGTAATACCCAAGATGTCAAAGGTATGTTCCAAACTCAAAATAGTCATTAAGATGTTAATTTATGTTAAAAAACATAAAATCTAACTAAGGGAAAAATAGTCAATTCATTTAGAATGGTATGAATCAGTTATCCATAGAAAGATATTTGGGACAAAATAGTCATTTTGCCTATGGATAAGCATTAAAAAAGTCAAGGATGAGTAGGTTTAATTGCATTTAATGACATTAATTAAATAATAATTATGTTTAGTGTAAAATGACCAAAATGCCCTTATATGAAAAATTAAGGACCTATGAGTTATACAATTAAAATAATTGAGCCAATAGTATAATTTTGGAAAATAAATGAAATATTTTCCTATAAATGAGAGGAAATTCGTTCAAGCCAAGTGAGAGAGCATTTCTTCAACCTTTCTTTCATTTTCTCTCAAATCTTCCATGAAACAAGCCTTCTCTCTCTAAGTTTTAAAATAGTTTTGCATAATTTTTCAAGGAGAACAAGATAGGAGCCTTGGATCTTCAAGTTGAAGGGTTTAAGGTAAGAATTAAAAACCCTAATTTTGATGTGATTTGAAGTAGATGTTGAGATATAATGTTACATATATAGGATTAAGGTGTAAAAGAAGACAAAGGCAAAGGATTTGTTGGAGAAATTCTTTAAAAAGGTAAGGAAAAACCTCCCATGACTTTAGGAATTATGCTAGGGTTTGCAGATTTTTATAAAACCTTAAATTAAGGCTTTAAAGCATAGAATTAGTTGGTGGCAAGTGTAGTTGAACTCATTTATTCTATTTATTACCTTGAACTCATTATACATGAAGTTAATGCTATTTATGTTTTATGAGTTGTTATGTTTGATTAAAGAAAATGAAGCATGGATGTTGATGGTGGCCAAACTTGTAGTATTGGAGGCCACATGGTATTGAATAGTTGCTATTAGAAGTGTTGATGGTTGTTTGCATTAGCTTACAATGTTATAACAATAATGAATGATTATGGAAATGAGATTTTACACTTCCTTTAAGATGTTAAAGACTATTAAGGGGAGGTTTATTTGATCCATAAGTTGACCTCTTGGTTAATTGTCAATAGGAATTGATGTGACATAGTTTAATATTAAAAAAATTCGGATTTGATAAGCTTAAGGGTTATGTTAAACATGTTTCAGTATTTCGACCATAACTTGAGTTATAAAAATCGAAATGAGATGATTCTTGAAATTTAAGAGATAGCCTTACAACTTTTATGTTTATGCCAAGAGCCAATTCGTTTTAGAAATGGATAGAAAATGGCCTGAAGTATAAACTCCTGGTTATTAAAGTTTAAGATTTAACATGATCAATTCTTATAATTATGAATTGATTATTAATGTATTATTGTAATTATGTCATGTACTAATGTTTACCCATTAGTTAGATGATCTTTGAAAGATATACATGGTCATGATGTCAATGCATGATTAATGTTATGAAATGGCATGAAGATGTAATGTAATACATGTTTTAAGATGATGTATGTGAGCAAGAGGTAATGTAAATGGATTGATAATCCATAGATGAATTAAAAGTATTAAGTTCACCAAAATATGTATTTACATGCCATAAGATGTTAGAAATGCATAAAAACATGATAGAGATGCGTATAGACATGATGGAAAACGCGTAAGCATATCCTCGTATACCGGTTGAGGAAAGATGAATATATGCTTTAGATGCTAAATAACGCGTAAGCACACCTCCCGATAATATGAGCTCTAGATGAATTTGAGGCTAGATGATATGAAGTGCTTAAGACACTAAGAAAAGTCTGATCGGCTACACGTTAAATACTTCATATGCATTTAGTTGCATTACATGAGTTATGATGTTATTTACATCATGAGATGATTTATGCTCATGTTAGATGATATTTAGATGTTATATGATATTTAGATGTTATATCATGACATGTAGTGTGTGTGTACTATGTTTATCTACTTATGTGTATGCATTGATATTTATATAGTCATGGGATAAAATGATGAAAAACATATGAATTAGAAAAAAAAAACGAAGTATACCTAGATGTAAAAGATAAGTGATGTGTTAACAAATATGTTTAAATGAAGGTCAAATTGCACATTTAGAATGAAATGAATCATTCCTTACTAAGCGATTAGCGTTCACCCTTTCATTATTGATTGCTTTGCAGGTAGACCAGAAGCGAATGATGCTAGAGATAGCGGGGCTACACGTGAGGGGAGATGATTTATTGTAATCTTGATGTAAATAATGTAAATGATAAATGTTTGTGAAACACCTTTGGAAGCTTCCACCCTATAAATATGTTTTGATTGTATAATTTCCAAATAATTTCTTAAAGTTTTCTTAAATTATAAGTTTGGATCCTACGTGACATCTTATATGCATGTTTTGGATACTATTATTATTATCCTTACATAGGTTTTTTTTAAGTACAACTCGTTCTCCAGACATGTATCCCCGGGATTCTCATTGAGGGATATTCAGAGGATACCTGACTGGAGAGGGGTTTTACACCCGCCTTCTTTTATTGAGAATTTTTTTTTTCTTTGGGAGATTGTATATAAAGTTAGAGTTTAAATTATAGTTTTAGTAATGTATCTAAATTTATGATATTTACTTTTATAATATTTGTATTAAATTTATAGTAAAAATAATTTAAACGAGGGAGTCTAATAATTAAATATATGTATTATTACTTTTTGAATTTCACAAAATAATAATACATGACCCAAAAATAAATTTGATTAAATTATTACAATTTACCAAACTAATATAAGAATATACACAATTGCTTAACGATTTACAAATTACACAAATTCAATTATCCTTGTAATTAATTAATTGGTCAATTAAATATGATGTTAAACTTAATCAATGTTGAGAACTTGGGATAATGAGATTTGTCCCTTTCATAAATGGACTAATTTTATTAGTTGTAGTGGAGATAGTGTTTTATTAATTAATTCATCAATTTACCTAGTAAATTATGTTAAGATTGAATTTAGTTATATTAATTTTTTAAATAATTAATTAATTAACAGGGCTAATTAAGCTTAAGCCTCCATACAATTGAATAATTAATCAATTTACCTAATAAATTATGTTAAGATTAGATATAGATATATTTATTTTATGAAAAATTAATTCATTAACAGGGTTGATTAAGTCTAATCGGCTAAGCCTTCATACAATTAAATAAGTAATCAATTTACCTACTAAATTATGTTAAGATTGAATTTAATTATATTAATTTTATGAAAAAGTAATTAACAGGGCTAATTAAGCCTAAGCCTCCATGCAATAGAATAATTAATTAATTTACCTAATAAATTATGTTAAGATTAGATATAGATATATTAAATTGTGTTTGGGGAAAAATCCCTGCGGGGTGAATTTCCCCGCGAAGCCTTGTTCATCAGGGCGGGATGAGGATGGGAGTGATTTCATCACCATGGGCCGAGGATGGTCATGAGAGTTGTCCTTGCCAGCGTGGACGGTCATGGGAGTGGATATTGGGGACAGGGACAAGGAATGGGGTCCCCGGTCTTGACCCGGCCCTCACCCATCCCTAGTTAATCCCGCGTATCTCTTCTTTTGTTTTATTGTTTTGATTTGTGTGTTTGTGTGTTACTTTGTTTTCGTGAATAAGGGTGACTATTGAACGAAAAAAAAGTAATACGAAAACAAAGTAACAAACAAACACACAAATCAAAACAATAAAACAAAAGAAGAGATACGCGGGATTAACTAGGGATAGGCACGGGCCGGAGACCCCATTCCTCGTCCTCGTCCCCGATATTCACTCCCATGACCGTCCCCGCTGGCAGGGACAACTCTCATGACCATCCCCGTCCCACGTGGATGGAATCACTCCCATCCTCGTCCTAGCCTGACTCGATGAACGGGGCTTCGCAGGGATTTTTCCCCTAACACAATTATATATATAATCTTAACATAATTTATTAGATAAATTGATTAATTATTCACTTGTATAGAGGCTTAGGCTTAATTAGCCATATTAATTAATTAATTTTTCATAAAATTAATATAACTAAATTTAATCTTAACATAATTTACTAGATAAGTTGATTAATTATTTAATTGTACGAAGGCTGAGCCGATTAGGCTTAATCAACCCTGTTAATTAATTAATTTTTCTTAAAATAAATATATCTATATCTAATATTAACATAATTTATTAGGCAAATTGATTAATTATTCAATTGTGTAGAGGCTTAGGCTTAGTTAGCCCTGTTAATTAATTAATTTTTCACAAAATTAATATAACTAAATTCAACCTTAACATAATTTACTAGATAAATTGATGAATTAATTAATAAAACACTATTTCCACTACAACAAATAAAATTAATCCAGTTGTGAAAGGGACAAATCCCATTATCCTAAGTTCCCAACATTGATTAAGTTTAATATTATATTTAATTGACCTATTAATTAATTACAAAGATAATTGAATTTGTGTCGTTAAGCAATTGTGTATATTCTTATACTGGTTTGGTAAATTGTAATAATCTAATCAAATTTATATTTGGGTCATGTATTATTATTTTGTGAAATGCAAAAAGTAATAATATATATATTTAATTATTAGATTCTCTCGTTTAAATTATTTTTTCTATAAATTTAATACAAACATTAAAAAGTATTAGAAAAGTAAAATAATGAATTTAGATATATTACTGAAAACTATTATTTAAACTCTAACTTTATATACAATCTCACAAAGAAAAAAAATTCTCAATAAAAGAAGGCGGGACTCCATGGGGGTGGGGTTGACAGGCCGGGGATTTTTTTGTGGACCGTCCTTGGCTCTATCCTCGATATTTCCGAGGATTCCCAACCCCATTCGGGCCTGATCCCCGCGGGGCCGAGGCAAACACCCATCTCTACGATTTACCTTAGTTCACCCAATTAACAGACTAAGTCTAGCTGAGTCAATATTATTGCAATACTGTCTCATCTCTTTCATTTACAATGAATAAATTTATCCTATGATTGTTATCCCTCATTACAAGAGAAAAGTGTGTTTAAATATTAGGTTTAAAAAGCTAAACCTAGTTTTTGAATGCGTCTGCGTGGCCCATTAATGTTGAAATAGTCGACAACTCCAACAACCATTAGAGCTCTTACGCAGTCGGTAGTTCCAGAGTTTCGAGAGAATAGTTGAGGTGAATACAATCTGGCCCGCACACCCCTGGTCATAAAAAAAAAAAAAAGGTTAAACATGTTTAAATCATAACTCGTTCTAATAAATTAAATAAGACTTATATGTTGAAATTTAGAAGAAAATATGCTGATCACACAAAACTAAAGGGTTGGTAAGGATGTGATTGGGTTTGAATGAGAAATGTTTTTATGCCAATGTATACACAAATGTTAAATTTAGTTAAATTCTAACTATAATTATGCAATATTTATAATTGTCTTTTCATTCTCAATAAGACTCTTTCTTAATTTACACGATAAGCTAGTATTCTGTTTAGTGTTAAGTGTTAACTGCATTTAAATATTAGTGATGAATAAAGCCAAGCAATACTGATCAATCAAGTTTTGGTGGTTTAGGCATTGCTTAATTATATATATGGTTCTGGTTCAGCTTCACTCATCACTTGCTTCCTGTTTTCTGTGTTGTAAAGACCCTTTTAAAAGAGTGTATAAAGCAAAGCAGCCTGTCTAAGTGTGAATTTGCAGGAAATTTTTCTTTTCTCTCACCCAACTGTCCCATCCCATGTCAAACTTCTCTTTCTAAAATGAAAGTTACGTTTCACCATCATGAAAATGAGGTTCACATATGAGCCTTGAGATTAAAGTTACTACACCTACTAAACACCCCAATTATTATTATTAAGTTACAATGGCCTACATGATACAATGCCCTCCCATTGCATGGAAATTTTTGTTTTTCAAAAGTTTTTTGTCTCGCATCTCTGGATTCCTTTGAACAATAATTTGCTGGAAAACTGCGGATAATGCTGCTAGCTGCAACCCACAGTTAGGGCATATGGTGGGCGCAAGACCATTGATTCAGTGATAAATTACCCTTAAAATATCAAACACAAGTTGATAACTTGGGCGTCCAGGCATAGGATTTGGACCATTCTACTGCTACTGCTACTGCTCCAGAATGCCATTGAAGTGGTAAGGTTTCTGTAGACTTCACCAATGAACCGTTTGTGGTCCTAACTTAATCAAAGTTCCTTCACTTGGAGAGAGAAGCTAAGAGATCAAAGTTCCTTGATGATATATATGTTGAAAATGGGAGGTGTGGCATTAGCCCATATTTTGCAATGTAGCATGTGTAGATTGATAAATGCTTCTTCAAATTTCAATAGCTTTCCTTTGCCGATCGACCATAGATGATGTCGAAATATGTACACTTCAATCACATGTTTATGTTCATATACAAGGATGTATTTAACTCTTTATCAAGAACCCGGATAAGTCATAAGATTTCTCTCCCTCTGGTAAACCGAGCAGGCTTTAGGAACCTGGTTTACTTTGATTTATAATTAGTGGGTAATGTACATTAAATGGACATTCACCTTAAAAAAAAAAAAAAAAAACACGTGGAGTGGAGACAGGCTTTAGATGCTGCAAAAAAAGAAGTTACATTTCTGCTTGTACAAGCATCCATCGCCATGATTTTAGGTAAAGGGTAAACCCGGTGAAGTTTTAGCGAACTTTAAAGGCTTTCAAACATCTACAGCATCAACTGGAAGAGAAGTTGCCCTGTGAAGGGAGTGTGGAAGCAGAGCTCCTGAATAGTAATTCTTGGCAGTGACCATTGACTCTGGATTACAAGGCCAGTTGATTGGATCATAACTTTGGACACTTTGGTCGGCCAAATTGCCAAATCTCTTCTCATCATTAACAGGGAGAGATGAAGTCAACTTTTTAGAGGATCTTGATCTCAGGAGGGATTTACTGTTTCCACTTTCGTGTAACACTGGAGATAGAGAAGCCTTGTCATCTTTCACATGCTCTTTGTCATCAGAAATCGGGGTTGAGCTGGAAGATTTGGATTTGACACCTAATTGTTGATCTCTAAGCTCCCTCAACTGCATTTGATACTTCGCTTTAAGCCACCTTAGCTCTCTCCTAATTTCATTTTCATAATCATCTAAGAGACCACATTCCTCTGAAGAATACACGGAGAAAGAGTTTCTTGCATTAGATTCACTTTGACTGTCCATATTTATAATCTTCTCTTCCATTCCGAAGATTGATTTGTCCAGTGTTTCACCCACCTCATCACAGTGGATGTCTCTTGACCCTCCTGAACTTAACTCTGGTCCTTCCCGCTGAGCCCAGATATCTGCATAACAGATGGCATCAGATTCTCTTGATGCAGCCACTGCACCTTCTTTACCACATTGTTCTGCCCCATCAACTTGGTATGTGATCTCTTCGAATCGTCCATGGACAGCAGCACTTCCATGTTTAGAACTCTGAAGAACCTGAAGGTTCTTGGTTCCAGAATTATCTGATGCAACAAAATCGGGTAAGCAACCATTCGAACCATTGTGACAGAAACTACTGCAATGTGGACTTTTATCTATGCCCAGTCCCCTCTTCCACTCCGGTACTAAAGTAGCAATTTCACCACCTATTATTTCTGCTATTTTTGTCACATCTTGGTCAGTGATGTCAAGCTCGGATACCATTTCAGTAGCAACACTCAGTGCTGTGTCAGTCTCAATGTCAAATGGGAAATAGATGTTTCGAATGCAACCTGCAAAAAGGAATGTAAAACTTAAATTGTTTGCATACTCTTTTGATAATAAGAAATCAATACAATGACAAACTGGAACTCTTACCTTCGTGATCTGCAATTCTTAGTCTCAAAAAGATGCCATTATCCTCTCTCCTTTTACCTTTGATTGAGATGTCAAAATCTGACAAATGATCATCCTCTTGACAATTAAAGTCATCGACTTCATTGAGTGGGTGGTAATCCAAATCATTCTCAGGATCATAACCAGTATAATTAGCATATCCATTGTTCAAAGAGCTGTTACTGTGATGAATTCCATTTAGAGGTTGTCTGAGGAAAGGGCCTATTTCATCATAGTCACTCTGATACAAAATCAGACTCAAGTCAGAGTCATATTCATCAATTTGGAGAAAAGGGTCTCTCAAAAGCTCCCTAGCAGGAAGCCTGGAAGTCACGGTTGCCAAGCACTTTTCAATAAATTGTCGCACCTCAGGATCCTGTACTTTGTATAAAGCTTCTGGTTTTTTGCCCTAAGTGAAAAATGACATACGTGAAAAGAGTGTTGGGGACAGATACAAGACAGTAAAATGTAAAATTTTGAAGTATAAGCTCTTACAGAGACAACTTTCTTGTAGATTTGAGCAGGGTGGGTGCATTCACTATATGGATATTCAAAGGTGATCATCTCCAAGATGCACATTCCAAAAGAGTAAATGTCAACTAATTCATTGTATTCCTCTGCATACACCTCAGGAGCCATAAACTCTGGTGTTCCTGATTAAAAGAAATATAAACACTCCCTGATTTTTTCAATTCATCTTTTACAGAAAGCATCTTGAGATACAAAAGTAAATGATTCATAATATTGAGGAATACTTTGATGTATAAAATAATAGATCAATTTTAAATTTTAGGCATTGTCGTCTTTCATAAGATTAAAGGAAATTTGGAACAACTTACCCACGCAATGAGCAGCATGAGATTTGCGGAGGATTGCAGCGAGGCCAAGATCACCAATCTTAACTTCACCTTGGTTTCCATTAACAAAAATGTTGTCACATTTGAGATCTCTGTGAATTACAGGTGGGTTACGGCTGTGGAGATAAAGAAGCCCCAACAAAATCTGTCTACACCAATGCTTCACAGCTCTAATATTAACTCTCTTATGTTTTAGCCTATACCTATACAAAAGCAAGAAAAAGATCATTTTTTTTAATCCAAAAAGAAGAATAATAATATTAATAAAAGAGAAATCATAAGAAACTAAGAAAGGATTTATGGATTATCTATAATGCTTACTGTCTGAGAGTACCAGAGGTGAACATTTCAGTGACAAAGTTAATGTTCCTATTAGTTGTATCAACCCAAGAAGTGTAGAATTTCATGATGTTCTTGTGTTTCAATGTCTTAAGCAAGTGAATTTCACAGTAAAGCCTCTCAAGTTCTTCAGGACTTTGCAAGAAATCATAAAGCTTCACCTGATTCCATGCTACCTCAATTCCTTCATACTCATCAAAGGCTCTGTAACTGAAACAAATAATGCATATACGACAATAAACAAAAACTACTAAATTAATAGAAAAACCTATGCTATACCCACCAAAAAAACACTGTTAAAATGACCCCCAAAATGAATCATATTTGTAAAACTATGAAAAGGGTATCTATAAAACTGAGCTAAGAAATTCCATACACTGTCTTTGAAGCTCCTTTTCCAAGAATTTCATTGTACTGCAACCAAAAAAAAAAAAAACTGTAACTCAAAACCAAAGCTCAAATTCATACAACATGAAACACTAAATCAGAAAAAAAAAAAAAAACCAAGTGGGTAGTACCCTTCCATATCTTCCAGTAGGATCAACTTCAACAAAGTCAGAAGAATCTGGTCCTGGGATTGAAGCAGAAACAGGAACACCATCCATTGTTATTATGGATTCAGTTTAATTAGTCTAACAATGTGAGTGAAAGGGAGGAAAAGAGAGAAAGCTGATAAGAGAAGTCAGAGAATATAAATAGGAAAAAGAAAAGAATCCATAATCATTGTTTTTTGTGAAGGAAAGTAGAGGCCAGATCGATGTGGAAAAAAAAAAAAAGAAAAAAAAAGAAAAGAAACGCATAGGTGAGTCCATCAAAAGGACAAATGTTAATTGCCCAACTACTCAGATCCAACGAAGCAAAGATTTCACGAGGTTGTCCCCACCAAGACAAAAGCCTGACACACAACCTCTCCTTGTCTCAACTCATGTTTCCTCTCTTACTCTTTTTCTTTTTCTTTTCTTTTCTATTGCATCACGAGCTTTAATTACCAAACCAAACAACACTCTCTTTAGCTTTATCTCTTCATATTAGGCCTGCAACAGCCTGCAGGACGTGGACTAGCAGTAGCAGACTTTTATTTTATTATTATTATTTTTTCTTTTTAAGCAGAAAAGCCAGTAGTGGGAAACTGGGAAAAGATTCATAGAAATCTTGTGAAGCCTTTTCAGGTTAATTGCAAAAGAGTTAATTACCTCCATCATGTTAATAAATCAATAATTTGAGGTTTAATTAATTAATGCTTTAGAAGATTATGATAAAGGCATAATGATATTATTTCAGTTTTTGCGTAGAATATATAGCTTTTTTGTATGGTTTAGAATCCAACTTCTTTTTAAGCAATCCATTGCAATAGTAGAATAATAACAATCGATTAGGTTTTGAAAGTTTAAAGTTCAACAGGAATAGTAGTTGAGAAAGAAGAAAGAGACTTTCGGTAGGGTTTTACTGTTTTTATGTTAGCTTTCGGGACTGTCCATTCATTCCTGCCTTACTCTTAGACCTTTTGTACCAAATATTTGTGGCTACTCTTTTCTTGGAATATCAATATTCTACTGATATGCAAATATAAAAAATATTTATAAGTATTCAAAGTCCTTACTATTTCATGCTATTTGGACTTCAAACAACAATTCATTTTATGACTAATACACATTATTTAATAAAAGTTAACTCTTTAACTCTTGAAAATTAACTCTCTTAGATCATGTTTAATTAATTCTTACTCGTGAAATTAATTATATCAGAACCGTGTTTAATTATATATAATACCCAAAAAATTTCAACTTGTAAATGGAAATATTATTTGTTTTTGTCTTGGTTGGCTTTATACAAGTATCTTTAAGATTGTGGATGAAAATGGTTTGTACATATGCAAATGCAAGTTGAATGTGCAAATTCGTGTGGTGTATGTAGGTTTGCCGTGTGCGACGATCGACAACCCAAAATAAATCTTTAATTATATAGTTAAGAAAGGAATTGTGTTATTTATTTCATTTTATTTTGTAATACATTGGCGCAAAATCTGATGTTATATGGTTTGCAAAAAAAGAACTATATAAGAATTTTGACCCTACCAATTAAGATGATATTGTATATTATTGTTGGTGATTGACTGATAAACTATAAGTAGAATAGTGGGCAACTTGCATGGAATAAGAATGATATTAAATTCCACGCACGCAGACGCAGTCAATTATTATGGCCACCACTTTATTGATTCATCACCTTAATTGGTACGGAATTTATCTTTTGTTTTTTTTTTTGCCTTTTCTTCCCCCACTCAACTCTATTATACAATGACTATTACTACAACATTAGTCTATTTTTATAAATTTTCTCGCACAGTTTTAATATAATAATTCGTAATTGATCAGTTTATAATTAATTAATAAAATTTATATGAGACCGATTATAAACTAATCAATTATGAATTACTACGTTATAATTATCACAAAAAACTTATGAAAGAGGATTGTTAATGTAGTATTATTCTTAAATTATTTTAACCCTCTCTGCTCATGCTTCCATACCTCACCGGTCACCACCCTTCTCCCTTGAGAAACTATAAAATGATAAAAGATAAGGAAGGGAGGCATGTGACATTATTTCGAAGGTTACGAGAAACATGAGCCTAGGTAAAGTCGACAAAACAAACAAACACACTCAACTCTCTTCCCACCTAGACTATGAAATCAAAATATTTCATATCATTTCTTTTTTGTATTCTTCACCAAATCCGAACGCTCTGTTTCTGTTGCCACATGCACCTACAATCAATGCTTTCTTTTATTTTCATAAGAGCACGGTGCATGCTGTATCATAGCAATATGGCATCCCAATGTTTGGCATAATGCCACTCAACATATCTTGCATGCATCTTGCATACCGATATTTAAAAAAAGAAAAATTAAAGTACTTATTAATAACATTATACAAATTCTAAGTTGTTTATTGATCTTAATTTAATTGTTGATTAAAGTATAGTTTTTTTGGCTCTTTTTTGTAAATAGTTCGGATCACACCTCAACTATTATTTGAAGTTCATTGAATACCCAACAAGTTTAAAAGATCAAGCAAGTCATTAAGGTCTAAACATAAGAATTCAAAGAATAGAAAAAACTTCTTTGATCGCTAGACCAATCTGTTGGAGTTATTTATTTGCATGTTCGGTTAAGATCTTAGTTGAATTTTGAAATTTTTTTTTTTTTTTTTAAATAAAGCTCAAAATGAAGAATGGCACAATACTCAATGTCTGGGTCTGGACTTATTATTGTGAAGTGGGCTGGACCAGACGAATGCAACAGAACTATCACTGCTTAATATTCAATTAATGAACCCCTCATGCCACGTTTCATTTCATTCTTTATTGTACGTTCATTATTCATGTTAATACAGCAAAATTTTGTTTCAAGTAATTTAAAATGGTTTTGTTTATTGTCGGCTAAGTTAATTTACACTGCACACCGAAAAGTTTGGCGTTTCTTTAAGGGGGAATGACTTGTTCCCACCTAAGGTTTGGGGTCTCACCCGTCAAGTTTTAAAATGATATTTTCCCGCCCAACGTTATGTACTGTTAGGAAGTTCCATTATGAAGAATGGTAGAATTGCCAATTTACAAGAAGCCGCAAACATAAAAAATTGAAATCTCAGTGTCCTGAATGGTTGCCATGTGTCCCACTAGAGTTGACTCTAAAAAAAAAAAAAAAAAAAAAAAAGAAGCGAGAATGAAAGGTTGGCTACCTATTCTTCCTATACTTTGTAAATCTCCCCACTCTTTATAACTGAAGCGATTGATAATGGGAGTGGTTTGAATACATGAAAATTTTGTCGACTGGCGACTTAGGGTTGGCGACTGACGACGACGATTGAGAAAAAGGTTTGAAAGCAATGAGCGACAAGCTGCAATTGGCTATGACGAGGAGTGAGAAAAAAATACATACGACAACGACTAAGCCGAAAGCTATGGGTAATCTTTCTTTTTTTTTTTTTTTAGGTTAAAAAAATTGTTGTGTGTTTTTTGTTTTGTTTTATGCTCTTTTCGTTTGGTACTACAACAGCAACAACTATTTCTTCACAGGCATAGTTAATCTAGATTACTTGTGGTGTTCAGTTTAGTTGGTACCCAGTTCATGGAATTTTGAACTGTTAATAGTAAGTTAGCGAGTTTGTGGTTTATGAGGTTATGCGTTGCTCTGTTTGATTATGTTGTTTCTGATCTGGAGGAGAGAATGTTAGGTTGTTTGTACTTGTCATCTGGATTTCTTGGGCTGTGTTTCGGAATGCTTTCGTGGAAATTGTTATTCAGTATAAGGGGTTTTTGTAAAAGTACCAATAGATTTGTGCTCATAAGAAGGCACAAGTATCGTTCTTATAATTCTTAGAATGTAGTAACACGACTTGCATGTTTCTTACTGATTTGCTCCAAGTTTTTTTATTTTCTAAAAAATGAATATTTTTCTTACACAGTGGTTTTGATCCTTGATTATCTGCTGCTATAGGTTAATTCCATTGGTGCCAAGGTCTTAGAATTAAATGTCACAAAAGTGCATGACAAAGAAACTGGGATCACTCAACGCTATCTTTCGAATGGAATTTCTATTAGTTATAAGGTATAACTTTTTGTTATGCCTGAAAAAGTAGGGCTGACGCAGAACCCTGTCAGCGCAAATGGTCAAAGCTTAGGTAAGTCCAGATGCCATTTAGGTGCAGCCATGTCGTGCGCTGACGCAAGAGGCAAGCTTCTGCCAGTGCAATAGGTGCTCGTCAGGCTGGTGAAAGGCTGGAGGTGATCCACGTGTCCAATTCCTGTGAGAATCGAGTAAATCACTCGGACAGGTGAATAACGGGGCGCAAGCTAGGATTTGGACGGAAATCTAACCCACTTCCTGATTTAGTAATCATTACCTCAATCCATCCCACTATAAATAGAAGGTTTCTCTCCTGTTTGTGGGATTAGCAAAATTTCTCTCTGCTATAGCATACTTATTTTCTCCTTGTAATCACTTGTAAGTCAGCTCGCGGAACGCAACCTAACCTCAATATATTAATACAATATCAGTAGACGTAGGAGTCGCTTGTTTAAGTATCCGAACCATTTTAAACATCGCTCTCCATCATTTATCCATTCTCATACCCCCATTCGCGTGTGTTCTCTAGGTCAGCTCAGCATTTCACACGTGCGTTTAGTTGGTGTCAAAATCACGCATCAACAGTTTGGCGCTAGAAGGAGGGCCTAATTTAGTATTTGTCCTTCCTTAGGAGAATCTCTAACTAATTGGTCCTACAACAGCAAATGGCTCACATATTCGAATCTGAGCAAACCAACCGTGATGAGGGAGAAATTCCCCAAGCGTAAGAGGACACTTCTTTCGAAGTGCTCCCCGTCCCGCAAGATCTCGTGAGGGATATTCCTTCAAGCTCACGGCTTGACCCAACCATCATGAGCTACCTGGAGAGGTTCAATAATACTCTCCAAACGGTCAACCAAAGGTTGGACTGTTTGGATTTGGTTACACCACCTGAATCAAATGAGGCGGTACCACCGCCTAAAACGCTTGCAGGACACATGAACGAGCGGAAAAGTGCGATAACTCGTGCCGCGCGTCAAAGGAAGGGAAAGTAGGTGGCGAACATTGGGCCTAAAGGACCCGAGGGACTAGCGAACACCAACCGCACCCTGGGTAGAATACCCATGGCGCAGACTCGGTGACAGGTCACATCCTGAGCTGTCCCATGCCATATCGCGCGAGCACTCCC